TGATCTCAGGGTCATGAGATAGAACCCTGCATGTTGGGCTCTGCACCTGGGTGTGGAGCCTGCTTAAGATTCTCTCTCCCTCTCCCTCTGCACACCTCCCCCCAAAGAATCTAGATAGAGGATCTGTCCCTAGAAAGGGAGCTATAGCGACAGATAACTATAGTATAACAATCTAGGTGTGGCAGACAGAGGAACTTAGCAAAATCTGTTAAAATTCTTTTTTGTGTCCCATTGTTTCTGTATGGCCTGGCAAACATTTGTTTACAAAACATTTGCTCTTTTTCAATTTCTTGTGAATTGCCTGCCTTCCATTTGAAGCCCCAGACCCCTACCCCCTTCTCCTTAGTCCAGAATGACATATATACGTCATTTTTCCTGTTTTTGAAATCTCTCGTTTTGTGGATTCCCCATATGTACATAATTAAATTAGATTTTTCTCCTGTTAATCTGTCTTATGTCAGTGTAATTCTTAGACCAATTAAAAAAACCTTGAAGCATAGAGAAAATTTTTCTTCTCCAATATGCTCTTACCAAGTGCTTGGGTCTGTGCTAGGAATATGGACCTTGAGCGCTTGTTTGGAGGTTCTAGCAGGGGAGCGCAGCTACTCGTATACCCTTGACAGAAGAACGGTCCTCCTCTATCGGGGAAGGTCATCCTCTTCGACCGAGCGTGCAGCTTCAGGAGGGACGCACATGGAGCGGTGAGAGAGGAAGGGGACACCCGCCTAGCTAGCCAGATCAGCCGAATCAACCCTGGCGATCAATGGGGTGACAGATGTCCCAGCCAGATCAGCCGAATCAACCCTGGCGATCAATGGGGTGACAGATGTCGCAGCCAGATCGCCCTCACATCCTGTGCTAGGAATATGAAGACAAAAAAAGGATCCTGTGCTTAAGGAGCTTACTTTCAGTAGAGGGTGGGAGACAAGTAAGCAAATAAAATGAATAATGTATTCTTCACTTTCCACTAAGATACTCCTAATGGCATAGAAGGGAAAACCCATGTCTCCCCGGAGTTTGGGGCATAACCTACATTAAGAGATTAATTTCTTTGAATTTCATCTCTTTAAAGTTTTTATTTAAGTCCAATTAGTTGAGTGTAATATGAGTTTCAGGTGTACAATATAGTGATTCAACACTTCCATACACCGCCAGGTGCTCAACACACGTGCACTCCTTAATCCCCATCACCTGTTTCCCCATCCCCCCCACCCACTTCTCTTATAATCATCAGTTTGTTCTCTATAGTTAAGCCTCTGTTTCTTGGTTTGCCTCTCTCTCGAATTTTATCTTTTAAAAGCCTTGCAAATTTTGCATTCCACACTACAATATAGCTCCACTTGTTTTTTTTTTTGTTTGTTTTTACATATCATCCAACCAAGTGGGGTTTATTCTGGAAATACATGACTGATTCAGCATTTAAATATCAATGTAATGCATCATATTAATAGCCTTAATAAGAAACACTGCCAAAAAATTGGATAAAATTCAATATCTAGTCATGATAAAAACTCTCAACAAACTAGGAAGAGAAAGGAACTTCCTTAACCTGATAAAGGACAAGTATAAAAAAACCTATAGTTTGGGGCCGCCTGTATGGCTCAGTCGGTTAAGCGTCTGCCTTGGTTCAGGTCATGATCCCAGAGTCCTGGGAATGAGCCCTTAAGCGGGCTTCTTGCGGGGAACCTGCTTCTCCCTCTTTCTCTGCCTGTCACTCGCCCTGCTTGTGTGCTTGTGCTCTCTGTCTGTCAAATAAATAAATAAAATCTTTAAGAAAAAAAAGCCTATAGCTGGTATCATACTGCATGGTTAAAAACTGAATGTTTTCCCCTTGAGAAGGAGGACAGGTAAGGATGTCTCCTCTTATTCAATATCCTATTGGAAATCCTATATAGTGCGACAAGGCAAGAACAAGAAATAAAAGGCATAAGAATTGGAAAGGAAGAAATAAAACGGTCCCTAGTTACAGGTGCCAGTCAGGCCTCCCTCTGGAAGAGGTCTTCAAATTGGCGCATGGGGGAGGGGGAGCCTTGGAGTTGGGCAAAGCCAGGCCTGCCTAGTGAATGGCTTGCACATTGGGGGGAGGGGGGAGGTTGGGGGTGGGGAACAGAAGACAACTCCTGGAGCACAAGGAGCACAGAGAATCCACCAGAAGGAGCCGCCTCCATTTCAGGCCCAGCAGGTAGATGGAGCTGGTGACAGTCACTCAGTGGGGACACCGGGAGGGCTGTGTCTTATTGCTGAGAATGGGGACGTAGCCCTCGGTGCTGCTTCGCTTCTTGAGTTTAACAGACACGGCGCGGCGGGGAGCTTTAACCGAATACCCCAAAGTCACAGTTGGAGTTGTGGATGAGGACGGGGATGGGGGCAAAACGGATCAAGAACCGGCTGCTCTTTCCTGCTTCTCTGTCTCCTGCGTCTGCGGAGGGGCGGAGGGGCGGAGGCCCGGCGTCCTGTAGGTGACCCGGGTGGCACACCGGTCCCGGGCAGCCCCGTCGCCCACGGTCCCCACACTCGATGAGCCGCCTGTGCTCGCTCAGTAGGGCGCCCAGTCCCCGCTGCAGTCCCCGCCCGCAGGGCCCTAGAGCAGCCGCTAGACCCCGCGCCCAGGCCTGGGAGGCTGGCGGAGCATCCCGTTTATTTAAACATGTACACTTTTTCAGCCACAGGCTGCTTGGAGAGGGGTAGTAATGTAGTGGTAAAACGCAAGATTTGTATTCAAGCTCTGGTGACTTCTAATCGTGACCGCTCTACCGCTTCCCAGCTCCTCTTTCCTGTTCCTCTTCGCAAAAGTAGTGCCCCTTCTGATCACCTTCTCCTGTTCTCCAAATCTTTACAAGGGCTTCTCCAGTCCGCGTGGTTAAGTTCGTTCTCCCCTCTCTTAAAACGCCCCGGATTCTGATCATTGGTACATTTTCTCCCTGCAACTTTTCCTGCCTCTCTAGTTCAAGAGTTAACTCGCTAAATTCTACAGGCCTCTTCTAACCGCCAGCTCTCTGCCTTTGTTCTGCCTGGAATCGCCGGCTGCCAATCAACAGAGGACGCAGACCTCTCAGAGCGAGGGAACTTGGACAGAATGGCCAGGCGCACTGGGCTCAGCGTAAACAAGTGACCTCTTGTTCTCCAAAGCTCTTGACAGACCAGGAGGAAAAAGGATCAGCTCTTCTACTATCTTTGTTGTATGATACCTACACTACTGCCTGGGTCCAAATACAAGCACTTTGCATTATAGGACAGCACAGGGAGCGGAAGGCGAGGGCGACGAGGGTTCTTACAAGAAGTCGAAAAATAAGATCCTTGCCGCTAAGTGAAACTTTCAAAGACTAAGAGCAACACTTCCCTCTCCCTCCCTCTTCTGTAGCCTTTTTCCCCTCCCCCCTCCTTCCCCAGACCTGCGCTGTCCAATAGAAATGGAAGGCCTTGTGGTATCACTGTGTTGTACACCTGAAACTGATGTAATATTGTGTGTCAGCCACGCTTCAATGAACATATTTAGGATAAGTCCACCTGGCATTCTCTAGGATGTGATTATTGTGGTTTTCTTTTCTTTTTTTTTTTGTGGGTGTGTGGTTTTCTTAAGGTGATTTTTAAGATTTTTCAGATTATCATTGAATCATAATAAACATATTCTGCTTAAGTCATGAATGTAAAATAAAAGTTGTGTCTCCCAGGTAGGAATGATGCCAGAACTTATTTCACATTGAGCGATATATGTATCATCACAGACAACATAAAAATACCGAATAGCTGAACTGGTTAATTGGTAACACTGCATGGCTTTGTTTTGCTGTAGTATTTTTGCAGAGTTTATTTATATTAAAAATTGCTTTAACGAATAAAAAAAGAAATATAATGCGAGCCACGTGTCATTTTAAATGTTCTAGTAGCCACGCTTTATTTTTATTTATTTATGTTAAAGTAGGCTCCACGCCCAACATGGGTTTGAACTCATGATCCTGAGATCAAGAGGCCGGTGCTCTACGGACTGAACCAGCCAGGCGCCCCTAGCAGCCACACTTTAAAAAGAAACAGGCGAGGGGCGCCTGGGTGGCTCAGGCGTTAAGCGTCTGCCTTCGGCTCAGGTCATGATCCCAGGGTCCTGGGATCGAGCCCCACATCCGGCTCCATGCTCTGCGGGGAAGCCTGCTTCTCCCTCTCCCACTTCCCCTGCTTGTGTTCCCTCTCTCGCTGTGTCTCTGTCAAATAAATAAATAAAACATTTAAAAAAAGAAACAGGTGAAGTTAATTTTTTAAAAAGATTTTATTTATTTATTTGAGAGAGAGAATGAGAGACAGAGAGAACGAGAGGGAAGAGGGCAGAGGGAGAAGCAGACCCCCTGCTGAGCAGGGAGCCCGATGTGGGACTCAAGCCCGGGACTCCAGGATCATGACCTGAGCCGAAGGCAGTCGCTTAACCAACTGAGCCACCCAGGCGCCCAGGTGAATTAATTTTAACAATGTTTTATTTAACGCAACTGACCCAAAATATTACAATTTCAATATGCAATCAACATAAAAATGCAGAGGTTTGCATTCTTTTTTCCAAGCAGTCTCTGATACTGGGTGTGCATTTGACACTTACGGAACATTAATTTTGGACTGGCGGCATTTCAAGCGCCTAATACCCACCATCCTGGACAGCTTGGCCCCGGAATTCCCCCTCGTTCCCCTTCTTGTCCCACCACCCCGCAGGAAGAAGTGAAGATGGTGGGGGGGTGGTAACACTGCTACTTTGGGACTGAGGCAAACTCGGGGAGGACACCTCACCCTGTGAAGTTGTGATGTTGCGATGCTGAGACCTCTCAGCCAGCCTCCCCTGCCCCCCTCCCCCGCTCAGCGAGGAAGCTCCTACCGCAAGAAAGCACCAGGCTGCGGGTGGGGGATGGGGGGAGTGGGAGAGGTGGGGGGGGAGGTGGAAGACGCCGCGCAGAGCCGCACGCATGCGTACTGCGCGCGCTCATAAACGCAGCCTGGCGCCCTAGCAACGGGTTCCAAGCCACTGTCTCGTCGGAATAAGTGGCTTTCCCCGGAGTTCTAGTCCCACCAGTCGGTCTCGGCTTGTCCCCGTCCACGGTTCTTTCTTATCATTTCCGTTTCTCCCCTCCACTGGTTCGATCTCGCCCGAGCCCTGAGCCGGGCTCCCGAAATGAGTACTCGTGGTTTCCGCGTGGGAACCAACCCTTGCCGCCTCAGGCTCGCCCTCCCCGGGCTGAGGTGGCTGCTGGGGCTGGGGCTGTTCCTAGGGCTTCACGCCACCCGCAGCGCGGCCTTCTACCTCCCCGGGTTGGCTCCAGTTAACTTCTGCGAGGCGGCCCGAGAGACTGCAACCTGCAAGGTGAGGGGCAGTGAGATGTGAGGGGAAGGCTTCGGGTAGGGGTATGGGGCACACCGGGGGAGACCACGGTCGCGAGCTCTTTTGCCTCCGACCCAGAATGCCAAAGCCCTCTCTGTGGGTGTGTGTCTCGTCGTCTCTGTCTCTGAGCCTCGCGCTTGGAGGATCCGGACCTCTCTTTTTCTCAGATTCTCTTTCCCTCTCTTTTGGCTCCTCCCCTTACTCTCCGTTCGTCCAACTCCCGCTCAGCTCTTCCTCCGTCCTCATAGCTCCTCCTTCTCCCCCATTTCTCTTGGCTCCCTCCCTTTCATCTCAGCTTTTCCTCTTCTCCTCCCTCTCCGCTCCGCCCCTCCCTTCCCCACTTCCCTCGCGCCCCTCCCCTCCCTCTCCGTTCCGCCCCGCCCTTCCCCACTTCCGTCTCAGCTCCTCCCCTTCCCCTCGGCCCCGCCCCGGTGTCTTGGCCCCGCCCCTTCCGCCTCTCTTCCCCTTAGCCCCGCCCCTTCGTTACGCTCTCCCCTCTAGGTCCCGCCCCTTCTGCCTGACTCCACCCCTCCCTCTTTTCCCTCTGGGGCTCGCCTTCTTGCTTCCTCCTTTCTGGGCGGCTTCTCCACCGCACTTCTTAGCTCCTTCTGTTCCTCCTTCCTCTGAGCTCCTCCCTTTCCTCCCTCCCTATTGGCTGCTCCTCCACCTTTCTTAGCTCCTCCTTTTCTGTCGCAGTTCCTTTCCTTCTTCCTCCTTGGCTCTTTCCTCTCCCTCTCTCCCTCCCTTTCCGATTGTCCTCCTTGTACTCTCTCCCTTTCAGGACTCACACACTCACTGTGGTTTTTTTTTTTTTTTTTTTTAGTTTTTATTTAAATTCCAGTCAGTGCACATACAGTGTTAAATTAGTTTCAGGTGTACAATTTAGTGATTGAACACTTCCATACAAAGACCGGGAGCTCATCACAAGTGCGCTGCTTAATCCGCATCAGCTCTTTCATCCGTCCCCCCACCCACCTCACTGTGGTCTTAGATACACCCCTACCATGTTTCCTTTCTGTCATTCTTCACTCCTCTGGTCTCCTGCTTTTTACCTCTTTAATTCTTGTCAATGCACTTTTGTTTCCCCTGGGCCCTTTACCTGCAAACACCAAGATCTTATTTACCTCTCAGACTTGTGAGAATAAAATGAGACAATGTATGAAAAGCACTGACAACTGTACCTGGCGCTTAGTAAGCTTTCCATAAATGGTAACTATTGTCATTATTAGCTTTCTTTAGGCAGAGATTTCTTTTTTTTCTTTAAAGTTTATTTATTTAAGTCATCTCTACACCCAACTGGGGCTCGAACTCAAGACCCCAAAATCAAGAGTCGCATGCTCCTCCCACTGACGCAGCCAGTCGCCCCTGGGCAGAGATTTCTGACCCAATTCCTCTTCTGTGTGTTCCTCAACACCCAATAATTTTCTGACTCCTTTCTTTAGCAGCTTGGTTTCTGTAACTGTAAGCTGAGTCCAAAAAAGGTGTTTTGTTTTGTTTTTTTTTGTAAGTAATCAATTCAAAATATATTAAAGAAGACGACTTGGGCGCCTGGGTGGCTCAGTCGGTTAAGCGTCTGCCTTCAGCTCAGGTCATGATCCTCAGGGTCCTGGGATCCAGTCCCGCATCAGGCTCCCTGCTCAGTGGGGAGCCTGCTTCTCCCTCTCCCTCTGCTGCTCTCCCCTGCTCATGCGCTCTCTCTCTCTCTCTCTCAAAAATAAAAAAAAAAAAAGAGTAAGACTTAATTTTAGGACTCCTCATTGGATGGGGGAGCGTTCTGGCATAAGGCACCACAAAGGCACTGGGAAGTTGAGAAGAGTGCTGGGTGTGGTTTAACTATAGACTTAACCAACTTGAAAGTTCCAGGGTTTTTTAAAGGCCAGTTTTAGGGGCAGCAAGTTTGCTCTTAAAACCTGGAACTTGCCTTTTCCTGTGTGAAGTTTTTTTTTTTTTTTTTAAAGATTTTATTTATTTATTTGAGACAGAGAGAATGAGAGAGACAGAGAGCACATGACAGGGGGAAGGGTCAGAGGGAGAAGCAGACCCCCTGCTGAGCAGGGAGCCCGATGCGGGACTCGATCCCGGGACTCCAGGATCATGACCCGAGCCGAAGGCAGTCGCTCAACCAACTGAGCCACCCAGGCGCCCTCCTGTGTGAAGTTTTGATAGTAATGTTTTGAGCCAACATCTTGCCAAACACATGTAAGAAATGGCATTTACAAAATATTTTTATGTCTGCCTTTTCTCTGGTAATACCTCATCCTGGATCTCTCTATTTCATCAGGCTTCCTAGCAAAGAAACATGATCTTTAACCATAACAAATGTCTGGAACTTCTTTTCCATAAGCTCTTTTCTTTTTAGGCTGTTATTGCATCCCTACATGTGTTCTACTTTTTATTCTGAGATTTCATCTTCTGTCTTTTGGTGAGTCTCTCATTTTTAGGTTTAACGCTCTAAACTTACTTCATTTGGTAGCATCCAGCCCCTTGATTTTTTTTTTTTTTTTAGTTTTAAAATTTTTGCTATTACAAAAGCAGTGGCATGCATCATACATGGTTAGAAAATGCAGGTAGGCAAAAAATAAGAAAAACATTTCTAATAACTAGAGAATTACCACTCTTGATATCTTAGCATATATTCTAGATTTTTTCCTACACATACTCATACCCGCATGTGTATTTTTAATAGACTTTTTAGATTTTTTTAGAGCAGTTTTAGGTTCACAGCAAAATTGAGCAGAAAATAGAGTTCCCATATACCCCTGCTCCCACACATGCATAGCTTTCTTCATCGACATCCCTCACCAGAGTGTTACATTCCTTACAGTTGATGAACCTAGATTGACACATCATTCCCACCCAAAGCCCATAGTTCATATTACACTTCACCCTTGGTCATTCTGTGAGTTTGGAGGAATGTGTAATGACATGTATCCATCATTATAATATCATATAGAATAATTTCACTGCTTTATACATTCTCTATGTTCTCTGCTATTCATCCACCCCTCTCTTAATCCCTGGCAACCACTGATCTATCTACTGTCTTCATAGTTTTATCTTTTCCAGACTGTCATATAGTTGGAATCCTACAGTATGTAGACTTCTCAGACTTGCTTCTTTCACTTAGTAATATGCATTTAGGGTTCCTCGGTGTCTTTTCATGGCTTAATAGTTCATTGTTTTTCAGTTTTGAATAATATTCCATTATCTGGATGTACCACAATTCATTTATATATTCACCTACTAAAGACATCTTGGTTGCTTCCAAGTTTTCACAATGATGAACAAAGCTGCTATAGACATTGTGCAGGTTTTCGTGTAGACTTATGTTTTCAACTCCTTTAGGAAAATACCAAGGAGTATCATTGCTAGATTGTATACTAAGAGTATGTTTAGTTTTTTAAGAAACTGCCAAGCTGTCTTCCAAAGTGGCTATATCATTTTGCATTCCCACTAGCAATGAATGAAAGTCCATATGCATTTTTTACCGACATAAAATCGTGGTATTCATGTTATTTTGTAACCTGCACTTTTCTTTCTTTTTTAATCAATACCTTGTTTCTTTCCTTTTTTAAAAAAGATTTTAAAAATTTATTTGTGAGAGAGAGAGAGAGAGCACAAGCAGAGGGAGCAGCAGGCAGAGGGAGAAGCAGGCTCCCTGCTTAGCAAGGAGCCCCATGCAGGACTGGATTCCAGGATCCTGTGATCATGACCTGAGCCTGAGCCGAAGGCAGATGCTTAACCATCCCATAACCTGCACTTTTCTATTAACAACTCTATCTTTCCACATCAATACATTTTTATCTCATGTATTACCAAGTTCATAGTCAGATTTCCCTAGTTATCCCTGAAATAACCAAACCAGAATCCAATCTAGGACCACAAATTGCATCTCTTTATTGTAGTCTATGGTTCTTTGAATCAAGCACAGTCCCTGCTTTTTTTTTTTTTTTCATAACATTAACTTATAAAAGGGATCAGTCTGTTTTTCTTGTGCAAGTCCTCCTGGACTTGTCTCTTTGCTGCCTTTTGATGGCATGTAGATTGGTTTAATAGTTAAACTTGAACCCTTTGGAGAGTAATTTGAAATATATATCAAAGTCTACAAAAATGTTCATCCCCCTGATTGTAATGATCTCACTTAGAATAATATACAAGGATATGGACAGATAAGAGGTTTTTCTCTGTGAAGGTCTCATCTACCTGGGTCTTTTAGTCACATAGTACCCCTCCCTGGAGAGCACCAATATCATCAGTTTCTCATGTATCCTGCTAGGGATTTCATGAATAAATGAACAAATAAGTATTTATATCATTTTTGCCTTTTTTTTTTTTTTTACACAAATGGGAGCATACTGTTCTCATCTTCAGGTGCCTTTATCATTTAACAATATAGCTTAGAGATCATTTTATATCATCGTATAAAGAACATCCTTGTTCTTTTTTAATGGTATAGCATTCTATTATAAGGATGTGCTATACTTAATTTACATAGTCCCTTATTTATGTATTTAGCTTGTTTCTATTCTCTTGATCTTACCAAACATTGTTGCATATGAGAATATCTATAGAATAAATTCCTAGGACTGGAATTGCTGGGTCAAAGAATATATGCACTTAACAATTTTGATATCCTCAAATTGCTTTCCATGGAGGTTGCATTAATTTACACTCTTAAATCAGGAAACTAGTCCCTTGTCTGTGACATCCTTTTCCCAAGTTTGTCAGTTGTCTTTTGGTTTTGCTTATTGTGTTTTGTTTTTGCTTTTGTTTTTTCACCATTTAGAAAAATTGGCTTTTATTCTAATATATCAAAAATTTTTTTGGTTTCTGACTTTTTTGCCCTGTTTTGAAAGGTCTTTTTTTTTTTTTTAAAGATTTTATTTATTTATTTGAGAGAGAGAATGAGAGAGAGCATGAGAGGGAAGAGGGTCAGAGGACGAAGCAGACCCCCTGCCGAGCAGGGAGCCCGATGCGGGACTCGATCCAGGGACTCCAGGATCATGACCTGAGCCGAAGGCAGTTGCTTAACCAACTGAGCCACCCAGGTGCCCCCTGTTTTGAAAGGTCTTAACCAAGCCAGCCAAGATTATAAAATAATTCTCCCATGGTTTCTTCTATTATTTTTATGGTTTAAATTTTATGGTTTAAATTTTAACAAATAAGATTGAGATTTCCTGGTGTAATGTATGAGGTAAGTATCCAGCTTAACTTTTTTCCCCCCTAGATTGCTGACCAGTTCTCTTAACAGTATTATTGAAGAATTTATCTTTTCTCCACTTGATTTGTGAAACCATTAAGATTCTTTTAATTATAGTAAGCTCCAGATATGCATTTTAAAATATAGTTCAAATCTTATATACGTTGTGTTTTGGGATTCTAGATGAGAGCTATTATCCTTAATTATCTGCTGTCCTTTTAGAAACTTTTCTCTGGGGCACCTGGGTGGCTCAGATGGTTAAGCGTCTGCCTTCGGCTCAGGTAATGATCCCAGGGTCCTGGGATCGAGCCCCACATCGGGCTCCTGGCTCAGCGGGGAGTCTGCTTCTCCCTCTTCCTCTGCTTCTCCCACTGCTCATGCTCTCTCTATATATATATCTCTGTGTCTCAAATGAATAAATAAAATCTTTAAAAAAAATGAAAAAAAAAAACTTTTCTCTGTTCACCTTTATAAAACTCTGATATATGTTGCTACTGCTAAATTTCTGATTAGATTTCATTAAGTGCAGATACAATACTCTTACAGAGTTAGAGTAAGGTTGTTTATATTTGTTGCCAAACTTGATGATTTCCTACATCCTCTTTAAAAAAAAACAAAACTAACCATGTGGCAAAGATGATAGCAGATGTTCAATTAAAAAAACAGTTTATGGAATTTTGAACAAGAATAAAGTGTTTACCCAAGTTCTGCTGTTCTAGTGGTTTTAAAAATCCTATCTTGGGCACCTGGGTGGCTCAGTCAATTAGGCGTCTGACTCTTGATCTCAGCTCAGGTCTTGATCTCAGGGTTGTGAGTTCAAGTCCTGTGTTGTGCTCCACGCTGGGCATAGAGCCTAACTTAAAAAAAATCCTATCTTGTAAATTATCAACAACACAGCTGAGATCCAGGGAAGTAAGCAGAAGTATTCTGTGAAAAGCCAGAATAGATGTCCTAATGTTCATGCACTAACTCTCATGCTCTCAGCCTTTTTGATATAGTTTTAACAAATCTGTGATTTATTCCACAAATTGAGGGCTTGCTCTCTAGCAGATTGGGGGTGGGGAAGAAGGGAGAAGAGGCATCTCAACAACTGACAATTGAAAAGAAAGACCTAGGGCGCCTGGGTGGCTCAGTTGGTTAAGCGACTGCCTTCGGCTCAGGTCATGATCCTGGAGTCCCTGGATCGAGTCCCTGGATCGAGTCCCGCATCGGGCTCCCTGCTCGGCAGGGAGTCTGCTTCTCCCTCTGACCCTCCCGACCCTCCCCCCTCTCATGTGCTCTCTCT